ACCATGGCAAGGTATAATTAGCTTTATACACTATGGACAGAAAGAAAGGTGGTGTGCACTAAACGACTATCAATGAAACAGTTTACTGCAGTATACAGTGGCCTATGAAATTACAATACAATGCACATGGGAGTTATTCGCTGAATCATAAAGAAATTAAATTGACAGAACTGATATTTTATCATTTATCATTATTGTTAAAAATGAAACACCAGCAATTATTTTACACTACGATTGTTTACGGTAAGATCGTTTAAAAGAACTATATCTCTTAAAATGTCATTTATTTCTGTGATGTCAAAGCTGAATTGTCAGCAGTCGTTACTGTCTTAAGTGTCACATGATCATTCATTCTAATATGCTGATTTGATACTTGAAAACAGTTGTGCTGCTAAATATTTTTGTGGAAACCATGATACTTTTTTTAAAGAACATCATTTATTTAAAAAAACAAAACATTGTAACATTATAAATGTCTTTACTGTCCCTTTTGCCACTAGTGCCTCAATAATGCTATAACCTCTCACACTTTTCATCCACAAAAGCATTCATTGCATGCTTCATCTCACCTTATAAATAAGACCTTTACTCCCAGAGACAGCCAATAAAATTAGAGCTTGCCAGGTCAAGAAAGTGCTAACAGTCTGAGGTCTGAGGTTACATGCCATTTGAGGATACTACAGTATGCAGCCAATAAGTTAAATCAGAGGGTTTAAGTGTAAACGTTGGCTGTTAACTAGATTAATTGGCCTTGTAGCAACAGTCTCACATACCCCAGAGCATCACATGAAAGGAGGCATTTTCCTTTGAACAGTCCTAGACATGCAAGCCGCAAGACAGGAAGTCCAATTTTCCTCTAGAGACAGAATGGTGATGCCTCTCTCAGCTACATATGCTGGTCCTGGTCTCTGTTTCCAGGGTTCAGTCACATCCTTTTAAAACTAGTTTGCAAGTAACAGTCTTAAAATCTTCCCATAGGAAGAGATTTCTTGATCCACCAATTAGCAGTCTGAATGAGCAGGGTGACGTAAACTGAGAAGTAAGCTGCTTTTGCATCACTTGTGTGAAAGACAAAATTAGAGGGAGGGAGACGGGGGAAGGAAGGGGACAGGATACTCAGATGAATCGATGTCACTTGTGTCCTTGGCGAATGACCAAAAAGAGCTATGTGATACAGAGAAAGATACACTAGAATATGCCCTCGTCATCTCTGCACCTCTGAAGCCTAACCTACCACCACCCTCATACACCTCACTAGGGGAAAAAGTAAATGCTTTTGATATGCATAATTGTAGGATTTGTCTTTAAATTATAACCTTGTTGCCATTATTTGACTGGGATGCATGCACAATCACAACCGCTGACATTTCTGGGACACAGATATTCAAGTAAATGATGCACCTTTGTGAAAACAAGTGTTTACCTGCCACCAGCAGTTCCCTATAATTCCCCTATAATTGTGTGGGTCCGAGAAGCTACTAAACAGAATGTACACAAAATGAATAATAGATCAGTTTTAGCTATTTTGCCAAAACAATTCATCTGGGAACATTTCTTCTGAGGACAATTATTGGTTCATATAACTACACATTTGCTAAAAATTTCCACCATAATACCATATTAATGGTCACTTAAGTCATAAACAATAAGGAAACCTTTAAAGCTTCAGTTCTCATTGCCATTTCCATTTAACTACATTGAAAGATCTTACAAAATCAAATCACCATTGTCTGTTAGATTTGAAGTTACTATATGTTAGTGTACACCTAAAAGTTAAAGGTAGGGTAGGCAATTTTGGAAAGGCTAGCAATAGCAAGCCCGCTTTGAAAGCATGAGTCCAAAGCCTCCCTTCAGAGTGTCTCCAAAGCCACGTCTCCTTCAAAACACATGAACGAACAGCTGAGTCTGCAAAGTGGCACGAGACGAGAGAAGGCGTTAAATTACCTCATGTCTCAAAGCACATAACAGTACAATGATAATGAACATAAACAACTTACAGATTCATTTTGGCGTTGATGGTGTTGACATAGAAATGCATAAATCCCAGTCTGGGTTGCCATCTCGCAATTACAGTTTGCCGTGAACGCAGCACAAGCGTGTTGTTTTGGTTCAGGAGGAACTGTAAAAGGCGGCTGCAGTTTTTTTGTGGCGCTTAGTGACTGTCTGTCCACAACTCTGCATATTATGGAAAGCACTGATGACGTGTGATGTCTGAGCGAGCAGGGTGCGTGGAGGTATGGAAAAACGTATGTTGACAGGCAGGTAGGACATCCTATAATTGCATTCGGACCGAATGCAATGATTGGACAAACATGTTTTGGTCCTGAGACTTCCTCAGAAGATACTGCATATGTACATATAATATGTATTATTGATTGCTATCAGGATGTGAAGAGAGTTCCAACCAGCAAAAAGTGTATAAAAAAATTGCCTATACTTACCATTAGCAATTATTGTTAAGCAGACACAGACATTTAAAATGTTTAGTCTCTTCTAGGAAAACAGATAATACTGATTACTCACTACTGGTAACTAAAAACAGGCCTACTGTAAGTTATGAGGTTTATATCGATAGTACATGCTTTTGTTGAAGCCATCATCCTGCATTATATCAACTTTTTTTTTTTTTTAAATAATCATGCTCAACAACAGAAATTTCTGGTACAAACATTTTTTTACATTGCCCATGATTCTGCAAAGAAATTTGCAAATCACACCAAAAGAACTCTTTAAGGCCCATCCACTCCCAAAAGCACTGTGATATAGGCTAGACATAATATGCAATCAGTACTATGACTATTAAGCTTCAAATCAAAGTTTGTAATGTTGTGATTAACCTCATAGTTGGTCCATGGCTTATAAGTATTAAACAAGGACATCCCTTAGGGAAAAACTTCCAGAACCAAGACCAAAAGTAGGCGGGCCGGGCTAAACAAAATGGGACGAGCCCTTTGGCATGTCCTGCCCCAACTTCATGTTTCCACAGGACATATGTCAACACTAGTCAAGCAATATCATGGGGTCTTTAAACACATCAATGGGCTGAAAGAAAAAACTATTTTGAACTCACTGGGCTAGTAACCATAGTTTCTTTCAAAATAGCTGCTACAGTTATTGTCAATTTGGGAACATAAAAATAGACGTTCAAATTAGCTTCTTGCACTGTTCGAAGATCTCACATTTAATTGTTTGCGGGTTTTACAGTAAAAAACAACAACACCATTTTAGCGTAAACTGGTCAATTATTACGCAACTTCCTGTGTACCTGTGTCAGGTGCGTGTGTTTACCTGCGGTAAGGCGGAGTTGAGCTGTCTCTGAAGCACGTCTCTCTCGTGAAGAACATCCTGGAGTTTGGTCTGCGACTGGATGAGGGTCTCCTGTGTCTCCCGTAAAGACTCCAGCAGCTTATCTCTCTCATCTAACATATTCACCATCAGCTGTTCAAAATTAGCCTCGGCATCCGTGCCGTTCTGAGAGCCTCTCTGGGAACTCACAGAGTCTCCTTCATTTATGGTCGGCATCACTTCGCACATCATATTGACAAATTAGAAATTGCTTTGATTTTTTTTTTTAATTCAGGATTGAGGTGCACTATTAATCTTTAGTGCCATTTAAATGCAGATTAATATCCATGTATTTTAAAATGCATCCTCTAATTTTACTAATTGCATCCCTGTCTGGATTCTTCACACACCTTGACCTCTCTGGTCCATGACTGTCGGCCTTTTCCGCTCAGACATTATCCACCTAGTTTGACTTGGGACTCAATGCATTTCGATGCACGCTCATCACAGCGCTCTCCACATGCATATTCCGATTTCAGCTTCTTGAACCTCGGCACCCTTCGCTTTAACATCCACCAGTTGCCATTAACCTTTCAGAAAACGTTGAAATTCGCGTCTGCCGCATCCTCCAGATCCATCTGCCACCATCATCATCATCTCCCTTCACGGCGAGCCGAGCGAAGCGCTCCTCCCTCTACGAGCTCATTCCCGCTTGCAACACAGCTATTCCGCTACCTCCACAAACATTCGCGCATGTTTTAAAATATGAATGCACCGACGCTTTGGTGGATGTAAAGGTTAAACGTCTCCCACGTCGTCGGCGAAAATCATATCCACCCGGCGTGGCTCTGTAAAGCTCGTGCAAACAGCGTAAAATCGGAGTTCCTCACATCAGCACCACGCGACTACATGACTGTCATGCACGAGACGCCAGTGTGAGAAATGTTGTCACGCGCAGCGCCCTCTGGCGGCAGGCAGGTGCATAGAAATGACGGACCTATCATGAAGTGTATAAAAATATATATATATATATATATATATAAACTAAAAAGGATTTTTGTAGCAAATCTCATATTTATAATATTGTTCTTAAATGTTATTCAGTATTTTATTCAATTTTGTTGCATTTTTGTGCATTGTTTAATTCACATTACTGGCATCAAGTTTAACTACAAGTAAATATATATATATATATATATATATATATATATTTTTTTTTTTTTTTTAAAGAACATTAAAACATGGTTTAGATTAAATAAAGTAAAAATAAAAGAAGAGAAAATTTGTTCAAAAAAAGAAAATATTTTTTTTTCTGGTTGATGTCAAACAGTTTTCATCAACACGATCAAATTATCTTGGTCAAATGTGTTAGGACCTACATGTGTGATGAAGAATCTCATGAATCGTATTAGAAATGCAGAATATAACAGGATTCCGTTTAAACTTCCTCCTAAAATGACTTTTCTCGAGGTTCAGTGGTCTTTTTAATGTTTAGTGACTCTCCAATGTATTTACTTCAAGAACTTTCAACAAGAAAAAAAAACAGCTGAGGTGACGTCATGGTTTTCCGGTTTTAAAAAAACGTACATATTTTTCTCTGAAGCCTGGGGTTATGAATATACACCGTCTGATTGGACGATTCATCTCACATATGATTTCTGCGTCCAATTAGCGTCCAGTCTTCGTCGTTTGCCCTCTGAGATCTCGCGAGAATGTACGCGACCTTGAGTGTCAGTTCCATAATGGCTGAAGATCCTGGAGGAGCTTTCTTTAATTTCACCCTCATTTTTATCGGGTTTTCGTTACCTCTGCTGGAAAGATGGCAGGGCACACAGCCTCGATAAACGGCCACAGACCCCCGCTCTCGTCATGCCCAAGAAAGGGAACCGAAAACGGCTGAAATTCAAAGCCGAGGATGTTTGCTCGGAGTCAGGTAATAATAGAGTGAGACGGGCTGATGATGTTATGATGTGTGTTGCGTATAATAGCCAAAGTCCACTTTAATGTCAACTTCATTTTTTGTATTCCTTCATCCTTTTCTCACAGTAACTGTGGCTGACTATGCCAACGCTGATCCAGCCATCGTGAAGTCAGGAAGAGTTAAAAAGGCTGTTGTTAATGCAATTGAAAAAGAAGGTAATTCAGAAATACTAAAGTAAAGTCACCATAAAATCATTGTAATCATGGCGGGACAGCCTGTCACTCATTTGAGATCATATCAATAGACTATGATCTATATAGTGCATTAGTGTCCGCCCACATTTTCAGTGGCGTTGGTTCCGGAAGTATTTTTTTTTCCCCCATTCATTTTTCTCATAGGACTTTAAAAAATGTCTTTGTTTAAGGATGAAACAAGCCAAACAGCTACGAGGTGAATCACAACATTACAATTTTATTTAGGTTTTAGTGAGGGAAAGAACTACAATCCCATGTACCATTGCAAAAAGCGTAAGCGAATTAAAAGCTACTTATTGAAACATGTTGATTAAATATGAAACAATGTATTTTAAGCGTATTGCAAAATACGCAATATGTCCTCAAATATTCAAGTATTTTGAAAGCCTCGATTACATCGATCTAATTGGTGGAATTTTCTGTACAGAATCATGGGTAATGTAGTTTTTCACCACAAATTCTGATGTTAAACACAATTGTTGAAATAATGCAGGCTGATGACTTTAACAAAAGCATATACCTGGGGTGGCCTACGTCCACAAAAAATTTGGACGAAACGCTCAATTCATATGGATTAGTTTTACGATCTCATTTTGAACTTTATGAAGCATCAAAGTGGTAGTTGCGTAGCTGTCAACGGAGGGACAGAAAGCTCTCATGTTTCATCAAAAAGATCTTCATTTGTGTTCTGAAGACGAACAAAGGTCTTACTGGTTTGGAACAACATGAGGGTAAGTAAATTATGACAGAATTTTAATTTTTGGGTTAACTATCCCTTTTATACACCTGCCTGTAATTTACAATTACAGCCTAATTAGCTGATTCAGGTGTGTTTGATTAACTGAAACTAAACTCTTGCCCGTTTACACGAAGGGAAGACGCAGATATTTCCCTGCGGTTTGGCCTCTCATTTACACGAAAACCCCGTTTTTATCACAGAAAACGATTATTTCTAAAAACTCCAGCCAAGGTGGAGATTTCTGATAACCGGTTATGTGTTGCCATGTCAACTGGGAGAAATGGGGTTTTAGGTTCTCAAACGTCACATTATGTGCCAGAAAATGCTTAACGTCATGTGAGCGCCCAATTTAGCATAGTTATGATGGCGCTCGATGGCGTATTTATGCGGGTTGATGTAAATGACAACTTTTTTGAAAACGATGTTGTGTGCACGATGTTATTATTGAAAAGGGAGGGGGGGAAATATTCGTTTCTCTAAATACCCGGCTATGTGTAAATGTGGCCTCTACTTCAGGATGATAAATCTCCAAAAGCTGGACTGAACCCCTCTAGTTTAGATTATTTAGAAGATGCTGCTATCCAGTATGTTGAGATTATCAGTATAAATTGCTATGATGACATTTGACACTTTAAGATTTAAAAAAAAAAAACATGGTGATCTTTATTCTTTTTCAGTGAAATTACTCTGTGGACTCGAGGCATCACAGGGTCCTGTGCAGGAGGTGCTCTCGTCTGCAGTCGGTGTGAGTAACGCAGTTCATGAGAGCAGTGACGAACTGGACTCAGAGGAAGGGGATGAAATCAAAGGGTCCAGCAAAAAGAAAAACAAAAGATGCAAAGGTAACCACTAGTGAGTTTTCTAATGCAGAGTTTCCCAAACTGGGGTTTATGAGGGAACTGAAGTGGGTTTGTGAGTTAATGAAAAGAAACTTACTAAAACACTCACCAAAAAAAAAAAAAATGAGTAGAGTAAATATTTTATTTCTTAACCTGCATGTCATGTGATTATTATTGTGGTTAGTTCACCCAAAAATTAAAATTCTTTCATTAATTACTCTCTCGTTCCAGACTTCGAAACACACAAGCATGCTTTGACTTGTTTACCATATTTAAGGGCTCTATGTACTGTATGTTCACTGATCAATTGTTAATATATGAATAAAAGCCTAAATTAAATTGGTTCATGATATGAAATACACCTCTTGATTCATTTGATGCTTCAAGAGAAGATTGTAAAAGAAATCTAGAGTTTTGGCTGAAAAGACCTTCAAAAGAGGGATATAAATATTTTAGGTTTCATTAACCTCTGTCGATCATCATGGCCTCCTAATCATCCCCATATATAATGATTGTCTCCTCTCCACCAGTAAGCTGGTGTGTGGTGGGCGTTCTGGTGCAATATGGCTGGTGGATGCTGCAAATTGGTGGTGGTTTTGTAGATAATTCCCCCTTATGTAAAGCGATTTGAGTGCCAGGAAAAACGTTATATAAATGTTATGAAATTATTATTATTATTATTAAAAATATCTTAATTTGTGTTCTGCAGATGAATGAAAGTCTAATGAGTTTGGAACAACACAAGGATGAGTAATTGACAGAATAAAAAAAAAATTGGTGAACTTATCCTTTAATTTTAAATATTAAATTAAAAGTTTAAATATTAACTTAAGGGGTACTTCTTTAATCTGTTATTTAGGTAAAAGTTTGGCTGACCAAAAGTTTGGGAATCCCTGTTCTAATGTATTCTGATATTATTCATTTTCTTGTTTGTTGAGATTAAGTAAACCCTGTTATTATGAATGTCAGAACACAGTGAAAACATAGATGGAGAGGAGTATCCCATTGATATTTGGCTTGTGCTTGCTGCATACATTCGTCCAGAAGACGTCTGCAGATTCTCTTTGATCTGCAAGAATGCGTGGACTGCCACATGCACTGCTGCATTTTGGAAAAGACTCTACAAAAGGTGGGCTGCCAAAAAATTGTATTTAACGTATTTATTAAAATTGCAACAGTCGGGTTAATCTTTAAATTAAAAATTTTATATTTCTCCTTAGTTTTTAATTGTATTGTTCACACAATGCTTCATGGGATTGTCCTTTTGTCCCTCATTAAAGCTGTTAAATGTGCACAGTCTTGTACCTTTGTCTTTTTGTAGTTTATGTTATGTTGATTCACCTCGTAGCTGTTGGTTTTTTTCTTCATGTCATAACTCTTTAACAAAGACTTTTTTTTATAATCCCTATGAGAAAAAGGAATGAAAAAGATACTTTCGGAACCAAGCTTGCTGAAAATGCATACGGGCACTGTTGTGCACTATTAGACATTTCTGTTTTCCCCATCCAGGGCATTTATGCATGACTAAATTCCCTCTTGATGTTTTTTACCTTTCCCCAGGCACTATAATCTTGATGCAGACCTCCCTGATCGCCTTCAGCCTGATTTTATCGCAAGGATGCATTGTCTTCGTGCCCGTGTGATTCGCTCGCTTTTTCACTTATATGAGCCCTTTAGCTCGCGTGTGTCCAAAAGCCCTCCTCTTCCTGAATCTACACCTACTACACTCCTCAATTCCAAGGTGTGTAGATGTACTTTCTCTTTTAAATGCTTCATTTTAATTTAATTTACCCATTTAATGTGAGGATTTTTCTGTTGATGCCTTTCTTGTTCCTATAGTGTTTATTGTTTTGGATCCACAAAGTTTCTGGAAGTAGGTCAGAGCCGATGTGGGAATTCAACTTCAAGTTTGTGAAACTGGTATGCCCACAACAACATTGTTTTAAAAGCAGAATATGAGATGATAGCATTGTTTTAATTCAATTTCATTGTATTTTAACTTTCAGCCAACCAAAGGTAAAAATGGATGTAGTATGGGTCTTCAGCTGCCCAAGCAGTATAAAGATGTTCACACTAATCCAGACTCAGACTGTTACCTACTGCGGGTCACTACCCTCAATTTCATTTTTACTTCTGTTGTGATGGGCATGACATTAACTTTGGTGAGTTATGAGATAATCTATTTAACATGTTATGATTATGTATATATAACATTGTTATAACAGGAGTAGGCAATACTATATATCTGTAATCCTTTTGCTTAATCTAATCATCAGATAATTAAAGGGTTAGTTCACCCAAAAATAAAAATTGTCATTTACTCACCCTCAAGTTGTTCCAAACCTGTATACATTTCTTTCTTCTGCTAAATGCAAGCAAGAAGAAATTTGGAAGAATATGTGTAACCAAACAGTTTATGGGCCCCATTGACTTCTGTAGTATCGCAAAAAATACTATGGAAGTTATTGGGGCCCATTAACTGTGACCTATCCCTTTAATGTTCTATATATTTTGAATGTGTGTAGTGAGTAAAATTTGCCCATAGAACATTCGGCATCTTCCAGCATCAGTTGTCACTTTAAAGCCATTCACAACTCCTCTCCCATAGTAAAGTGTCCATCAAATTCAAATGCGCACTTCAGAATAGGGCTGCACAATTAATCGAAATTAAACCGCACGTGATTTGGCAAAGGCTGCGATTTATTTTATGCGCAGCTTGTCAGTGCAGCACTGCTCTGTGATCAGTAGTAAAAGCTGCTCCATCTGAAAGCCAGAGGGCGCTCTCGCCCAGACACTTCAAATGTGCCCCCAGAAGTATGATAACGCACGTCATTCCAGGAAATCCCTATGGGCATCATACTATCGCTGTAGCTGAATAAACAGAAGATTGAAATGCTTTGATTTTTTTTAAATGTTGTCTTTTGTTGGACAAGAGGTTCATAAATGTTTGTTAAGATGTTTGACGTGTGTTGCTGTTTCAAATTCACGTTATAAGTGACTCAAACTCGCAGTGCTTTCAGATGGCGCAGCATTTACTACTGATCACAGAGCCGTACGTCACTGACAAGCTGCGCTGCCTGCGCATAACAAATAATCACAGCCTTTGCGATTTCATAATCGCAATAAGTCAAATCGGTTTAAGCGCGATTTCAGTTAATTGCGATTAATCGTCCAGCTCAATTTCAGAATATTGCCGGAAGTAGTAGGTCATCTGGGTTCTTTGGACCTACTGTTTATGAGTACTGTGAATTTGGGCATACAATTTAGTGTGTGAAAAGAAAAGTAGGGCAGTAGGTATATTCAGACTTGGGTATTTTTACTTGTTGTGCGTCTCCGAGAACACCATTTCTTAAGTTTTTTGTGTTTAGGTTTGGAACGACTGATAATCTGTTAAGTGTTTGATTGAATGATGATTTTTCTGGAGCCATTTACAAAGTCTGCAAATGTATGATTCCCTAAAAGTTGTGTGTAGTAAACTCCAGCCTTTAGTAATCTGCTCCATTATTTAAGCTGGATGTCACTTGATATTTGTAGTGTTGAATCTATAGCCTCAGAGGAACTTCATCATTATGCCTAGTGGTGAAGTTGCCACATTCATTTTTGCTGAAGTTTTTACTTGCATTTTCACAAGTCGTCATGCTGATGTCATAAATGACAATGAATCTTTCGCTCCTTGTCTTTCAGTTCAACATTAATGTGAGCACAGACATGAGGCACCACCGAGTGCGCCTGGAGTTCCAGGATTCACCAGTCATTCGAGGAAGGAAACTTAGGGGTGAACAGGGGGTGCAGGTAGTGCTGGACCCTGTCCACAGCGTGCGTCTCCTGGACTGGTGGCACCCTCAGTACCCCACATCTTCATTTAATTAGACTGATGAACTCCACCAACCTTCTGGATTATAGAAATATTGCAGAAGACAATTCTGGCCTGTTTCAACCAATCATAAAGTCCTGAGTCGGCTTGGCAGTCACTATTTGTTTTTCTGTTGATTTTTAGGCTTTGCGCTTGGTGTGCTGCTTTTATGGACTCTCTAGTTTGATCAGAAGTCCTAACTCAAGGTCTCAGGACATTGACATTGTAGGAGGAAATTGCCTTTTAATAATCTGGGTAGCTGCCATATTTAATTTGACATAAATGAAAACAAAGTGGGATGTCATGCTGTTAATTTTCAACCTGTTTTTTTTTTTTTTTTTTCACAAAAAAAAAATCTTGAATGATTGAGTTCCAAGTGCACAAATGTTCTTTCTGAATAGACTGTACTTGCCTCCCTCAGTTTTCGTGTATGGCAAAAAAAAAAATCAAATTAAATATGACATCTACATCAGAGGTACATGGTGTGCTTTTCTTTCCTTTGAAAGTGATTTAGTAATTCAGTACAGCATCAAGTCATCGTAACAGTTACATAGTCAGATTTACATGACTCTAATCTTGAATCATATGTGATTTATTTTTTATAGTTGGTTGTTTTTGTCTGTGGTTCTTTAGCATTCCCAAGATTCCCCCGAAATGTAGATTATTATTATTTTTTTTTTTTTTTTTTTTTTTTTCACCCTGTCTCTGCAAATTTGTGATTTGGTAAACTGGATGAACATTCAAATCTATCAAAAAAAAATTGTAGTGTTAAGAAAAATCTTCTAAGGCTGCGCTGGAAAGGTGTAGCTTAACCCATTTGAATAACTTTAGATTGGTGTTAGATTTAGGGAAGAAAAGCTGGCATTTCATGTATTCAGTGCTTTCTTTGGGGCCATTACGAGTTCAACTTTGCTACGGTGCATGATTGCCTAGTTAAAGTTGTTCTAATTGACTGCATTGGCGAGGGAGTTTCTAAGTGTTGTAGATATTAAAGTGTCTTGGTTAAAAGAATGATATTGTTTGTGATAAAAAAGAAGTTATTAAGCTTATAGATTAAATCAATGTTAAAATTTATTGCTATATTATAATCAAATATAGAAGTTTGTGAAGTAAATTCAGTTTCTTTTAAGCCTTGGAGCATTTTGTTTTAGACTGGAAAGTTGCGTCAGAGGGCACTGATGTTTTGCGCTATTAAATAAAATGAGCTGTAATCTGTTTTGTGGTTCTCTCCTGCATGGGAAAATATACTGACACCCGGTGGGCCAAGCTGAAACAACAGTGGCGTTTGTCTGCTTATGTTGCTCGTTTTTGATTGTAATACCACTGAATTACATACTGTATGATTACATACTTGCTGGAGTTAAGAACAGCTGTGGATCAAAACAAATGCTTGACAACTGAATGCTGCAATTACAATGAAGGTAATATCTTTGTAATGAGTGCGATGAGTCAGCTGCTCTGCCTCTGCTTTTATTTTTCATTCTGGCAAAATGTATTTGCACTAGTAACTGGCAGACTGTGCATATCACTTAATTTATAGACAATATAAGATTCTAAATAATAGCAGAACAACATTTGATCTTAATCTAGTTACATTTAGAATAATTATTTTAAAGTCCTCCTGTAGTCAATTTTATCCCTTAAAACTCAACTTTGATCACCAAAATTACATATTTAAACATCCTTTTCTTGTGAAAAATATTTCTTCATGCCTTAAAATATCTTGTTGAATGTAACTACACCCTTGCTTCGTTTAGTATACACGGAACCATGAATATGCAAATGAGCTCCGCCTCCACTCACAACAGTTTAGAGATCCACTCAGTCAACTTTACTGTAGTAAACGCTGCACAATGGCAAGTGGAAATACTATTTTAATTCAGCCATATCTGTTTGAACCAGAAACTGATTGGTAAGAGTGAATTATACATGCTTGTTTAAAAAGTCGATGTGTCAGAATGGTAATGCTTTTTATGTGTGTATGCCCCTGCTTCAGAGCATAATTAAAGATTGCTAAAGCACACACGTTGATGTGATTGGTTAGTAATTTGTGATGTAAGAAACACTGGTGAATTCAAACCGCAATTTTTCACTAAGTTTTAAGGAGAAAATACTCAATGCAATGGTGTTGACATGAATTTGCACATGGTTTGTCTTAAAGCATATTAAAAACATCACATAGATATATAAACAACATTAAAAACTTGGTTTTCACCACAGAGGTATTTAAATGTAATGTTTAATGCCATGAAATGAAAAAAAACTGCTCATAAACGTGCATAGAAAGTGACTATAATTGCTTTTATAAAATTAGTTTGGCACTGCCAAAGGTTTACATAATAAATACGCACACGCAGAGTTATGTTTACAGTCATCCTTTAACATTGTCCGAACTGAACGACATTTCCCACAATGCACTGTGCGCGCTGTGATTGGTGGATGCGGCTGTCACAAGTGCCTACAGGTGACTAGTGTACAGCGCTGTCACATCACAGCGCAGTGAGAAAACAAATCGCACATCACACAGGGGAGAGAGTGAGTGAGTTCTGCAGAAATTATAGAGAAGTTGTAAACGGTGCTCTTTCGCAGTTTCGCTTCCATACGAATGTAGAGGGAACTGATACCAGGTTGACTTGAAGTCTGCACAACTGCCGCTCCTTTCCAAAAAACTACGTCCCAACTTTGTACTTTCTGACCTTCAGCGGGTAAGTGATACAGCCCATTGCGCTCTTGTGTCTAAATAAGTCTGCCTCTCCTTGAGTTGCATTTATTTCCAGCTTATTCCATAGCGACAGTGTTTACATACATATTTTACATGTTAACAATAGGCAGAAACGCAGTTGGTGCGTATGCTTTTCGTTTTTTGAAAGTCATTGACTTTTGCTGGAGTGAAAAGTGACTCAAAACTGTATATTCATAAATATATGTATATTTCATCCTTGAAATGACTAGCTATGCCTTAAATTGAAGTTGTCTACGCTCCGTGACTTCTTTGTTTTTTTATTGAATATATAGGCTATTTATTTTCGATGCTGTTCACTAGGTCAAGTGTTTATATATTGACATAACGCATGGTTATTGCAAGTTGTATGTGCTTATATTGTTGGCACAGAGCCACACAGGCTACTGCTGATATCTGCATAAACTCTACAGCGTCTTATGTAATGCGAACAGCGCAGCGTGCGCGAACCACCACATATGCGTCCCCTATAAAAGTTTTGCTATTTACACATAATGTACAAATATAGCGCTCAAGTTATTTATAGGCAGCATAAGCAAGGCATCTGAATATACTTCCTAGTCTAACTGAGACCATGACAACTTCAGTGTGGCTATACAGATATTATCTATAATATATCAGAGAACACATTAAATGTTTATGCGCATGCATGCTAGTTTTCGGAGCTCCATATAGTGTCATTAAGCGTTTCTTACGAAAACGAGCATATTCTGAATAAACGTAGGCTACTCACAATCAAATTATTTTGCAAAGTTGTATATATGAATATCAATATAGTAGTAATTTATATATTGCAATATTAATTAGAATATTCTTGTGCAAGTGAATGTATTGATGGTCTTACTTTCATGGTGACATAATCACTGTGTAGTGAACAGTCATTCTGTCACTAATCCCAACCACAATGTCATTATAATCTGTTTGAGAGTTGTAGTAGCTAGGTCTTTTTATGAATTGGTTTGGTTCAAGTATCAAATAACCCACACTATAAAAAAAAAAACAGTACATGGCTACAGTATAATCCAGTATTCAGATTTAGTCAAGCGAAAAAGTGAACAATGAATGAAGGTTTTTGCCTCAGTGAAACTGATAGTATCAAGTTAATCCCTTGTTTATTTATTATTGTGTCTTTCCCTTCTGCCATCCTACACAAATAAAAAGTGAGGCTGTGAGAAATATATATATATATATATATATATATATAGTTTTTTCTTTTAGTCATTCAGCTGATGCAATATTGAAAATGTATCTTTAAAAGAAAACTTGTGTTACAAAAAATACTTGTGTTGTGAGAATTAAACATGACAGGACGGTTGTGTTTAACTTTACTTAGGTTCGGTAAGTTATTTTTCTCTTTGATTTTGTTGACTTTCACACAAGTGAAAATATTTCAGCCTCTGGCTCTTGCGTTTCTCATTAAATTGAATGGGCCTGTCCAAACGTTCCCTCCGCTGCTTCTTGTAGTTCAGCTGAATCAATCATCCATAGGAGAAATTTTCTGACATGCCAGAAAATCAAGTTCACCCGCAGGTCATATGAGAAGAGCAGCAGAAAGCTGAAGGCTTTATCTATCCTCTCTCTCTGATGGTAAGAGATAAACACACAGTCTTGTCGCAGGTGTGGCACCACAGCCTTGTCCATCACACGCGCCGACACGTTTGACCAGTGCATGTCATCCAAACAAAGTCAAGGCATTAGGCGGCAGTTATGCGTTTGTTTTGATGCAATTGAGTGACTTGAATCAGATATACACAGACAGGAAGACAGTATGGCTGATGAAAGGTAACTCCAGAACACTCACCTCTCCCACACACCTGTGGACACACAAACACCCAGCAGCGAGGACAACGGTAAACACACGTGTTACTGTCGATTTGGGTATTTGGGTTGGCTTGCTGTTTCTTTGTTTCCATTACGCTGCCTTTGAGTCAAGCATTTTAGTTGAACATAAACTACACTTGTGTTAATTCTAGACATGACCCCGTCGTCTTGACTTAAAATGAGCTGCTAGTGGAACAATTCGTTGGTGTACACAAATGAACAGTGTATTAAATTCCTTCCCTTTTTCATGTATAGGCTGTGACATAAGTCAAAAGGAAAATTCAATTAAATGACTTGTATTATGATATCATCATTTGATTTAATTGTAATTCAGTATTGTTTGGTTGAACAACTAGCGCCCTAGGTTCAGGCCAGCACTTCAAAAAAGGTCAAGATGTGCCTTTTTTTAGCCAGCTCTTGCACCAAATCATGCGCCAAAAGCCTGCTTTGTAGATGTAACCCTTTCCTGTAAATGTGAAACCAAATTTTGTTCCTCTCTGCTTGTTTTCACAATGCTACTCTGAGGCGATACTTGAAGCTGATGGAGCGTGGAGAGAGAAAGAGCAGTGGGC